AGATGGACTGCACTTTTCCAAATCCAAGGTCGAGCTCCTTCCAGAGCCAAGGTCGAGCTATAAAATAATTCACTATATTAAATTATTTTTATTTCAACGGACTGCACTTTTCAACGAACTGCACTATAATAAGATGAATAAATTTGTCTTAGACATGTAATCCTTCAAGAGCCCTAACCCCAATTTCAAAAATTCCAAAATTTGCAACTTCTGTGTGAAGGGAGGGATTTGTCGTCCGATGATATGGTTGAAAGCAGTGATGGTTCGGTGTTGGTTTGTGAGCGAGTACGGAGTCGTGAGAGTGTGAGAGAAAATTGATTCTCTTTTTGTGCCAGAGAATATTTTTTTTTTTGTTCTCCAGCACAAAAATAAAAAATCGGTTCATCTTGGGAACGAAAATAAACTGATTTTATCAAACGCAATTCTTATCCATTTTTGAACAAAAATTAAAAAAAAAATCATTCTGGGAAGGTTGTCATGCACACCCTAATATTATGGGATGTATTATTTTACTTATGTATTTTTCTTCCTACTTTTGTATTTTACTCTCCAACATCATTAGATCAGAATCTCAACTATTTTTATTATTTTTCTCTCTTATTGAGATTTAGATATAACGGTGTTGGAGAATAATAGGTAAAGATAGACAGAAAAAATAAATAGAATAACTTATCCTTATAATTATTTACTCCTCAAAATACATAATTATAAGTAGCTAAAATTGAGATAATTTATATTCTTTAAAAAGACAAACTATTTTCCCATTATTTTATGCTGCAATCCCAAATGATATCTTTTGTTATCATGAATCTTATCTAAATATTTTATTTTTATTTTTTCAAAATTTCAAAATAACCTGGTTTTAAAGTTATAGGAGCTATTATTAAAAAGGAAAAAGTGTTTATCCTTTTAAATGACACAACTTATGTTATTTTATTCTCACAAAAAAGTGGGATCCACAACTCTATATTTTTTGTCCACTCTTTCTCCTCCTTTATCTATCTCTTTCTCTTACTTAAAATGACACAATTTTACATCTTTTAAAATGATACACATTTTTTCCTACAAAAAAATATTAATCCTTTATTTTATAGGAATTAATATTTCTTCGGGACATAATTTTATTTCATCTACACAAATATACATGAATGAATCTTACTTTTTCTCTTTTTATCTTTTCTTATTGGAAGGGTTATATTTATAAAATTTTTGTTTACAAACTATACTATGTACTCTTGAAAGTACACTAGGTTACACTATTTACTTTAGGGAGTGTATAGTATAATTTGCAAATATTTGTAAAAAAATTCATAAATGGATCCTTTCCTTTTCTTTTTATAAGGCCCTTTTTTTTTTACGTACAGAGGAGATAAAATTATCTCTAATTTATAGGAAAAATATTAATTGCTATTTTATATTTAAAATAATAGATTCTTTTTTATTCCATGACCTCAATTATTTCTCTAGAAACTTACACATAAAATTTGAAAAATAACCCCACACGATTATAAAATTAATCAATATTACAAATTTACAATTATCTCTTACTCCGCTCGGTGGCTGCTAAGATCCCTTACAACATTTCAACCCCTCCTTTGATATTTGTGGTTGATGCTCATATTGTCACCTAATAACATTGGGTTTCCATTTAATTTTTTTAAAATTATAGCGATATTTGATGCCAATTTAATAGTATACAATTTAATATTATACAATTAGTAATAGTGTCAAAAATAGTTAATAAATATTTTGTATAGTTATAGCATCTTGGTAAGGGAATTTGAAATCATAATAATGGGTCATCCATTTTCAGTGCTAGAAAAGGAAAGTACCTCACCAGCAACGGATCTAGGGGTATGAATGAGGAATTGCAAATAGGCAATGGTTCCCCATATTTTTTATGATTTTTTTAAAGCACATTTATATGCAAAATGATAAATCCCTATTATTACTTTTTATTGACAGGAAATTGTGATTAAAATTATATTTAAATAAGTGATCGGTGTATTAGACTACTTATGAAATGGATTAATTTAAAAGAAAAAAAAATACTAAGTTGAAAATTTAGCCATCACTGTTCCCCCGCACTCCGGATTAGTCCCATAGCCGGCTCAAAGAGTCGAAGCTCGTGGGAATACCGGAGGGAACCAACTCGTCTCAAAGAGATAATTAGGGTTGGGTAACTCAAAAAAAAAAAAAAAGAGTAAACTCAAAAGAGGGCAACACACTTACAGAACAATGACAAAAAAATTTATCAATGAAAATTAATATGGGTATTCATCAACCGATCCAAACCAATTCAAACTGCGATGACCGAACCGAAAAATCGAAAATCAAATTAACCGAAAATCAAAAAATTGAAAACCGAAAAAAAAACCACAAAATTTAATTGGATTGGATCAATTTTTGGATGGGTTGATGAAAACGATCTAATCCAAACCGATCAAATGATTTCTCAACCTTACCATCTACCTACATGAGCTTTTCTCCAATCATAGCCCAAAAACCATATAACAAAATTCTAAATCCAAGACCCATTAACACATTATGTTGGAGAAAGTGAGTTGTGCTTGATCTATGTTATGCCTTTTTTTTTTAAGATACATAATATATTTTTATTACATAGGTTATTGTTGTACAGCAGCTCCTCTATAGGATGAAAATTTGGGTTACTTCTTATCTCAGACAACCATATTATAAATTTTTTGTTGGAAGTAAAATATGATAATTTAACTTTTTGTTGTACAATGCTTCTAGATTGCACAATAATCATGGTACAAACTTTACAAACCCAATATATACAAAATATATGTTATTTGGACAATAATCATCATACAAATCTTATACTTTTCAAAAAATCGAAAATCGATCCAATCCAAACTGAATAAAATTGGATTTGATCGGATCGGATTTGAAAAAAAAAATTAAACCGAATAGATGATTACATGATTAAATCGAAGGGATTGGATCAGATGATTTTTACTTTCAAAACCGATCTAATCCAGACCGCGAACACGTCTAAAAATTAATTTTAAATTTTTAAGAATTTACTTTTTTTTTTTTTTTTTTAGTAAACAGAATTTACTTTAAATGGTAGAGACTTCGAGTTAGAAGTTCTTGAAGTTAATACTAAAAGAACAAAGAAGCATTATAAATCTTCATTTAAATATTTTAATTATTAAATTTTATAAAGTTGACCCCGTCAGTAATTGATTCCTAAATCCAAATATTGTGTTGACTTAGATATTGATACTAAAATGACACTAATAACCAATAAGTCTCTAGATTTTAGATTTGTTGAATCATATTTTCAATAGAAAGTTCAAGTATGATATTTATATAGATTTCAAGATAAATTTAATGTTTTTTTTTTTTACATTCTGTAAAAGTAGTCGGAATTCATTATATAGTTTTATCATTTAGTAGGAGGAATCTGTAGAACTGGCCATCCATGATTTTTGCTTAATAAGAAAATAGGATGAAGATTTTATCAAGCCTATTTTGTACTTGTATTGATTGACATATTATGAGAATCAATTCTTATTACTATTCATGTATTTACTATTATAAAAATATAATTTTTTATTATTTATCAAAAGTTGTCGATTTTACATTCATCTTAGAGGATTCAAACCCAACTATATAGATACTTTGGACATGGGTATGGGGTAGGGTTTGGAGTTTTTTGTGCTTGCGGACGTACATGTGAATATATGCATGTGGTCCTATAGGGAAAACTTTTGGTATATTGCAAGGAAAATGTTTGGGCATGTGGTCCTAAATTAATGTCATTTATACTGCTTTTGATAGGGATTATATGTTAATAACTGAATTATTGATGCTTTTGATTATAATGCTTTTGATAATTTGAGAATCATTTGATACTTAAATTATGTGAGAAAAAGCTTTTTTACTTTAAATTTTAGTAACTTAATATCACAATGTATCCTACTTTGCATAATATGTCAAAGGCTTTGAAATGTTGTTCATCATGATGTCACACTTTGCATACTCTGTGAAGTGTGATTTGAGCTCACAATATAGGATCTTTTTTGTATCAATTTTTCGCCAGCCTCCTTCGAAACATGTATCTGATCCCACTATAGGAAGCCCAAATATTTGGAAGACTATGAGACCTATTAAAAGAGGACATGGGATACATGTTTGCAGTAGTAGCCCAATGCTTTCATTTTCTTTTATTTCCAGTATTGCTGCAAGCATCCCTTTTCATGTTAGCGTAGTATTTAGCTTTTGACGCTGCAAGCATTCTATCCCTCAGAAGAATCCCACCCCCATGGTAATTTTTCATGTCAGCATACACATGTCCAACACAAGTTTTATGCTAACAAAATGTTAAGTGCGTGCACTAATCCCTGCAACGTTATTATAAACAACTAATTACAAATTATTATAACTTTATAAATGAAAATTTTAATTAAAATCATCCAAAATGAAATTGACCAACTTATAAACCAAACTACACCCAGGACACCATTCTCCAAATTAAACCCTATCACAAAATTAGATGTGGTGAGCGGCCCTTCCCGTCTCACCCCGTCAAAAAACGAGTTTATCCATCCCACTTTATTTTTAAGAGTGAGCTGAGAAAATTCAGCCTACCCCGCCTCGTTTAGCGGGCTGAATGAATTGGCCGTCAATCCGAACTTATTTTACACTGATCTACCTCGTCTCGCTTATGCTCGTCAAAAAATGAGGAGGTGGGTTAAAAAACTCAGTTCGCCCCGCCCTATTCCGTTTGGCGGTCAACCCTATTCCGTTTGGCGAGTGGGGCGGGTTAACTCACGAAGCCAGCCCGTTTTTCTGGCCCTATGCAAAATCACCAACACCCAAGGTTAGTTTTTTTTTTTTTTTTAATTTTGGCATTTTTTTTCACAATTTGTGTGAAATCTAAAATCTTTTATTCAAGTGGAATATAGAGAAGATAAGTAGCGGATAAAGTTTCCATAAAATACAGTTTTGTTTGTTGGAGAGTGGTTGAAATGTCCTCCAATCCTAGTCTTACCCAACTGCTGCTCCCTTATCCTTATTCCCTCCAAACCCATCGCCACTCTATCACTATTCCCATTACCAAACACCCTTCTCCACCCTCTTCCACAGCCACCGTTACCGTTACCGCCACCGCCGCAGAACCCCGTTCTCCTTCCGAATGGATCGACCACCTTCGCTACCAAACCCAATCCTCCACCTTCCGCGAAGCCATCTCCACCTACACCAACATGGTCGCAGCCGGCGCAGCACCCGACAACTTCGCCTTCCCCGCCGTCCTGAAAGCCGTGGCGGGCGTTCACGACCTGAGTCTCGGGAAACAGATTCACGCCCACGTCCTCAAATTCGGCTACGGTTCGTCCTCTGTCACCGTGGCCAACTCCCTCGTCAACATGTACGGCAAATGCGGCGACGTCGAGGGTGCACACAAGGTGTTCGACAGAATCACCGAAAGAGACCACGTTTCGTGGAACTCCATGATTGCCAACTTGTGTCGGTTCCAGGAGTGGGAGCAGTCTCTGCAGTTGTTTCGGTTAATGCTGTTGGAGAATTCGGAACCAACCTCGTTCACTCTCGTCAGTGTTGCTCATGCGTGTTCCAATCTGCGTGATGGGGTGCGGCTTGGGAAGCAAGTGCATGCTTATACTCTGAGGAATGGGGATTGGAGAACGTTCACTAACAATGCTTTGGTTACCATGTATGCAAAACTAGGGAGGGTTGATGATGCCAAGGCTTTGTTTGAGGTGTTTGATGATAAAGACATGGTGTCTTGGAATACTATTATTAGTTCACTATCTCAAAGTGATAGATTTGAGGAAGCGTTGTTGTATCTACACCTTATGATTCTCAGTGGAGTTAGGCCTGATGGGGTTACGTTGGCAAGTGCTCTGCCTGCTTGCTCTCATTTGGAGATGTTGAGGACTGGAAAGGAATTGCATTCCTATGCCTTGAGGAACACAGATTTGATTGAGAACTCCTTTGTTTGTAGCGCTTTGGTTGACATGTATTGCAATTGCAAGCAAGCCCAAAAGGGTCGATGGGTTTTTGATGGAACCTTGAAGAGGACCGTGGCGGTTTGGAATGCTATGCTTGCTGGTTATGCGCGGAATGAATTTGATGATGAAGCAATAAAACTCTTCATTGAGATGGTTGCTGAATCAGATTTTTGTCCGAATGCTACGACATTGTCAAGTGTTTTGCCTGCTTGTGTGCGTTGTGATGCATTTTTAGACAAAGAAGGCATCCATGGTTACACAGTGAAAAGGGGCTTTGAAAAGGATAAGTACGTGCAAAATGCACTAATGGACATGTATTCCAGAATGGGAAGGATAGAAATTTCAAAGAGCATATTTAGCAGCATGGATAGAAGAGATATAGTGTCTTGGAACACGATGATCACTGGTTATGGTGTTTGTGGGTGCCATGATGATGCGCTTAATCTTCTGCATGACATGCAGAGAGGTCAAGAAGAAGATAGGAATAACACTTTTGATGATTGTGAGGATAATGGAAGCATTCCCCTCAAGCCTAATTCAGTGACTCTAATGACAGTGCTTCCTGGTTGTGCTGCCTTGGCAGCTCTAGGTAAAGGGAAAGAAATTCATGCTTATGCTGTTAAACAAATGCTGGCAACAGATGTTGCTGTGGGAAGCGCACTAGTTGACATGTATGCAAAATGTGGTTGTTTGAACTTATCTAGGATAGTCTTTGATCAAATGCCTATAAGAAATGTTATTACTTGGAATGCTCTTATCATGGCCTATGGGATGCATGGGAAAGGAGAAGAAGCTTTGAAGCTTTTCAGAAGAATGATGGCACAAGGAGACAGCAAAGGGGAAATAAGGCCCAATGAAGTGACCTATATTGCCATTTTTGCTGCTTGTAGTCACTCTGGGATGGTGGATGAAGGCCTTAATTTATTCCATACAATGAAAGCTAACCATGGGATTGAACCCACAGCTGACCATTATGCTTGTGTTGTGGACTTGCTTGGCCGATCTGGTCAGGTTGATGAGGCATATAAACTGATCAATACAATGCCATCCAATATGAATAAAGTAGATGCATGGTGTAGCTTGCTTGGTGCCTGTCGGATACGCCAGAATTTAGAAATTGGTGAAATTGCAGCGAAGCACCTATTTGTCTTGGAGCCAAATGTGGCTAGCCATTATGTTCTACTGTCAAACATATACTCTTCAGCTGGACTCTGGGACCAGGCAATGGATGTTCGGAAGAAAATGAAGGAAATGGGAGTAAGAAAAGAACCTGGTTGTAGTTGGATTGAGCATGGTGATGAGGTTCATAAATTTTTGGCAGGGGATGGTTCACACCCACAAAGTAAAGCACTCCACGAATATCTTGAAATTCTGTCCCAAAGAATGAGAAAGGAGGGATATGTTCCTGATACTTCCTGTGTGCTTCACAACGTAGATGACGAAGAGAAAGAAACTATGCTCTGTGGGCATAGTGAGAGACTGGCAATAGCTTTTGGCCTTCTAAATACCCCTCCCGGAACTACCATTAGAGTTGCGAAAAATCTTCGGGTTTGCAATGACTGCCATGTTGCCACTAAATTCATATCAAAGATCATGGACAGGGAAATCATTCTTAGAGATGTTAGAAGGTTCCATCATTTCAGAAATGGAACTTGCTCTTGTGGGGATTATTGGTGAAAAATGAATAGTAAAAAAATTGATTCTTTCTATAAAAAAATTGTTTCTTTCTAAGTAATTCACTTCATCCCCCCTCCCTCTCCCTCAATTTCTCTTCCTATCAACTCCCTTTTTCCCTTCTCCTTCACAGGCGAGAAATTCAGCTGAGATCTTCAATCATTGAATCTGCAGTTACATAATTTGGATAACATGAAACTGTATAGAGTTTCATGTTGTATCTACTGAATCCCTCCCTGATATTTTTTTCATATAGCCCATAAGATGCCTTTTCTTCCAATTCTTTACTACTAACTCCCAATCCTAGATGGCCTGTGGCTGTGGCTAGCCCAAAATAAGCTGAGTTGTTGGAACACTAATGCAAAACGGACTCAATAAAGATATAATATTATTGTAACAAAAAAAAAAAGGGTAGATAATTTCTTATCATGGCATGTCACCCATTGTTAGTAGTTTTACAAAATTGGCTGAAAGTCTAACCATGCAGGAGAAAGAGAATACCGACTACATAGATTGCTCGATAGTAGTAGGTTATGGGAGGACTTTTGAAGTTCAACAGTAAATTAACGTGTTAGGTATAACACTTTTATCTCTTGGACTATCCTTTTGAAAGCAGCTGCTACTTTCTTAAGTTAGTGAAGACGACCTAGCCACCAACAGAGATCATACCTGAGCAACTAAGATCATAATCGGTTGATATGCACAAAATGACGACTTGTAGACAAAATTGAAATTCCCAAGTTTCTGGTTCATTTGCTCATATATAAATTCAATTTGATGAAATTGTACCATATGATGATATTTGATTTTCATGTATGTTGTTTATGGGACTTCTTCATATTCATATAGATGAGTAATGAGTTTCTCAATCAAAGAATATCCCAACTAGAATGTGAGTGTGTGAATTTATGATGTACTTATATTATGGGTTCGTCGTTTCTCCTTTCGCTGCTGATGAGAAAAGTTGCAGCAAATTATTAACACTAGAATACGGGGTCGTATCCTGGCCTAAAAAAAAAAAAAACACACATCAGGATTCGGACGCGTATCTTGATAAAAATAAGTGTTGCTGCACTTTTTCTCATCTGCAGTGACAGAAGAAGTATATAACCCTTATATTATTTAAGTAACTAAATAAAGTACAACTTTTTTAATGTATCGTCCCTTATTTTTTTTAATCTACTTATTTTTAACTAATCAAAACGCGACACTCAACAAATTGACTTTCTCGCTAGCCACTTCCCTTCAGCATATTTTTTTTTTTTTTTTGGGAAATTAATCTTAATTAATTTGTTAGGAAAATGTGTTTTATTGCTAGAAATGTTTTTTCCTTTAAAACCTACCCAAAAAAAAAGTGCATGTGACAGGAATATTAGTGACTCTCATTTTCCATCAACCTAACTTTTTATTTGTTTTTGCATACTTCCGACCAAACAAAGGCATGTCATATAATTAAATTTTAACTTCCAACAAAGTTTTCTTTATTCACTATTAATGCAAAACTCATAACAATAGTAGATGAAAATTAAGTCATCCAAATATATAAGCAACAATGTAATCTTTCAATTTCCTTTTACACATAATTGCATGAATTGGACCAGCCCACCACTGTTGCTCGAACACGGGTGACCTAACTCCTTGGCCGGTTCAGTTGGAGGCTCTAATGCTTTTTCATAATAACCAGTAAAATTCAGTTAAAACTGGTATAAACCTAGAAAACCGACCTTACTCCTTGGCCGGTTCAGTTGGAGGCTCTAACGCTTTTTCATAATAACCAGTAAAATTCAGTTAAAACTGGTTTAAACCTAGAAAACCGACCTAACTCCTTGGCCGGTTCAGTTGGAGGCTCTAACGCTTTTTCATAATAACCAGTAAAATTCAGTTAAAACTGGTATAAACCTAGAAAACTGACCTTACTCCTTGGCCAGTTCAGTTAGAGGCTCTAACGCTTTTTCATAATAACCAGTAAAATTCAGTTAAAACTGGTATAAACCTAGAAAACCGACCGGTCAACAACCTAAACAAGCTTACAACCTTCGAATCACAATATATGAAGCGGGTAAAAATGAAAGAGATAACCCAGACCGGTCGAAAGAGTAGTAGGCTGTGAGATAAGGTAAGAGAAATTCTTATACACAACCTTGCATATTTTAAGAGACTTTTTCAGATTCGAATACATAACCTTTTAGTCGCGTAAAAACAGTTTTACCACTACTCTAAGCTCTCTGTTGAGCTTGATCAATAAAAAATAAAAAATAAAACACGACAAAATGAATATAATCGAATCAAACAATACATGGATAAAAGCATTATTTTTAATGATACACGTATACAGTAGTGTTACAAAATTTTCTTGGCTACTATACAGTTAGTAGATTGGGATCAGAACAGTATTTTCTCTTGATAAATCTCCAATGCTTGGATAACTTTTTCAATGAACAATTTCCGGTGCAATCTATACCTGCACATGTAGCATTCACAGTGAAACTATTATTAGAGGGTTTGGGGTTTAAGATGTTACTGAAATTAAAATTTAAAAAGCTTATGAAACTGCTGGATGATGTGAATTTAGCATACTTTATTGCAGCTTCAAGTGTCCTCGTAGCTTCTGGCATGGAATCTGTTGTCATGAAGTGTAAGTTAAGCATTAGGTTTTATCATAAAAGTTAAGTTCAATCGAAGACCAAATAGTCACACAATAGCAGCTCTTGGTAAATTTAGCTCTTAAAAGTTTCAAAAGGTTGAGTCCATCCCAGAGGATGGACCCCATAACTAAATTTTTTTATAAACCTCAGGTAATGCTTTGTAGACAGCTCCACTATATCACAAGTGGTTGAGCTTTCTATCCATTGGGTTAGTGTAACTGACTCAAGATGCATGTCCATGCAATTAAAATTCTCAACAGAAGTCCTTTGTGAACTTGCTGGTGGCTAATGGAGGCTTGATTGATCGAGCTCTCTCCATAGAACACGCAAACCTTATTTCGCAGATATAATTGTAGTCATGTAGACTTGTAACTTCAACTCAGAATGTATAGCTTGTTTTGGATCCATTGATAGACTGTCTCCAGGCCAACCAGAATATCGAATATCCCCCAAAACATTTTCAAGCCAACACATAAGTAGGGAGGACCTTTGCATGATACAGCTACACCCCACAAACGTGTATTACTATGTTAGGAATCCATCCATTGTTAGGGTGTATAGTAGGAAGGGGCGTAGAGAACTAAAATTCTAGGCTGGACATGAAAGTGTGACTGCCTTTTGCAGAGAAAAGTTGTTAGACAGCTTAGCTTTAAGAGAGAAAAAGGAAGTGTATGAGAGGTATCAGAAAGATTAGGAAAACAAGTTTTGGGAGACACCGGAGCCTCTCGAACTCTAGACTATCTTTTCTTTTCATTTTCATCTCATTAACTGCAAACTCTAATCTTACATCCATTTGATATCAGGATTACAGTTCAATATACACTTTTTTATTCCGTTTGTGTTTTGATTCTTGATTGGTTCCTATCATACTGATGGAGAAGAATACTGCAGTTAACAGGCTCATGCAATAACAAAGAACCAACTATATCATTTTCAGGATGATATATATTCTCAGAAAGCAGTCATGACAAAATACAAATTATTATGATAATCAGTTCTATATTTCTACTTTCTAGCGTAAGGATGTGACTTGTGAGAAGTTTACCCAGCGCTTTCTGGTCTTGCTTAGAGGTTGTAGCAAATTCTGCAAGCATCTGTTGGCATTCTCCTTTTAACTCTTTCACAGCCTTTCTTTCCACACTAGGGATTGGAGGTACATCCCCATCTGACCAAGTTGGCAAGGTTCGTGCCGCAGCTATGACTGCTCCATCTACAAAAGTATCTCCAGTGTTTGATAGACAGCCTGCTATAATTTTCATATTGATATCCTTAAAAATGCCAATTCGAAATTTCGAATAGAGAAAAGTATAACAAAGCAGATTCCAGAAATAAAATTCATATTGCCCATACTGTTATGGTAATACTCTTCAGGAAGTTCAGATATATTGAAGACTGACAAGAAAGAATCCAAATGAATACGTGCATTGCCTGAGAAATTGATCACATCCCAAGGGTTCTGCAAATACAAGTTACATTGAGAACCAAAATTTCAAAAATCAAATAGATCTAATACCAAACAACGTATATCAGTTTACATGAATTGTTCATTACAAGAAGAATAATGAAAGAACAAGATAATAGAAATATGATACATCCCCATCCCTTGAAGTTTATTCTAGAAGGAAGTTTAAGTGCAAGGTGAGCATTCAGTATAATATCAGCAACAACCTCAAAAAGGCTGACTCAGCAGCAAAACCGTTACAAGGGAATATGCTGCAAAATTCTGTTAGGAATGAATCACCAAAGGCATGAATACCGGCCAAGTTGCTTAAATAGAGAGAAAAAAGCTTCAGAAGGGGAAGGCTGGAATTTGGGAATTGGGACCAGGAGAGCTCAACGATTCTCGAATTGTGGTGAACTTTGCTTTTCTTTCTTTTTGATCAGAAGAGTGTAGTAGTTATTGTGTAAATCTCTTCATCTTGTAGCTCTGTTCTTATACTTTCTTTCTCAATTAATATACAGAAAATCCAGAAATCTTTTCTGGGCCAAAAACTTCTGTTTTCCTTCTTCAATTACATCTTTTCTGATCCAGTTGTAACAACATACTTACAGAAGCACCTGGACATGGCATACTTTATATTGACCATGGACATGTGATCATACATGACAAAGGGGAATTGGTTTTCTTTCTTGTTTTCATTTTCAGTTGATATGTTTTTATTATGATTACAACAATTGCACCTTGTTTTGATTATTTTTCCTGTTTCCAACATTTTTTTGAAGGAAATGATGAAAACATGAAAAAGAATGAAAACAGTGTGACATTTTTGTAATTATAATGAACATTGTTAATTACCAAGAGACAAGAGGTATTCATTGTAATCCTTGTTATATCAAATTACACAATATTGGTGCTATTATATAGCAAACCAATTGAAGAGTACAAAGAGACACACTCAATGTGGGACTTCGATACTATGTACAACAACACTCCCCCTCAAGCTGGAGCATATAGATCATATGCACCAAGCTTGTTACATATCTGGTCTATCCTAGGTCCTCTCAAAGACTTAGTAAATACATCAGCTAATTGATCATTTGAGTTAACAAAACGAGTGACTATATCTCCTGAGAGAACCTTTTCCCTAAGGAAATGACAATCTATTTCAATGTGCTTAGTCCTTTCATGAAACACTGGATTTGAAGCAATATGCAAAGCAACTTGATTATCACAAATGAGAGATGTTGGGCCAGTGTCTCCAAACTTGAGTTCCTTCAGTAGCTGTTTTAACCAGATGAGTTCACAGGTAGCTGTGGCCATGGAGCGATATTCTGCTTCAGCACTTGATCTAGCAACTACACTTTGCTTTTTACTTCTCCAGGAAATCAAGTTATCTCCAACGAATACACAATACCCAGAAGTGGATCTTCTATCAATAGGAGAACCTGCCCAATCAGCATCTGAGTATCCTACAACTCTGGTATGACCTCTGTTTTCATAGAGAAGACCTTTGCGAGGAGCAGTCTTGATGTACTTGAGGATACGGATTACTGCATTCCAGTGATCTTCACAGGGAGAATTCAAGAACTGACTTACTACACTGACTGCAAAGGAAATGTCTGGTCGAGTAACTGTGAGATAGTTCAGTTTCCCAACCAATCTTCTATACCTCTCTGGATCAGAAAATAGCTCCCCCTGATTTGGTAAAAGCTTGACATTTGGATCCATAGGAGTATCAACGGGCTTAGCATTTAACAATGCTGTTTCCTCAAGAATATCCATAGCATATTTTCTCTGTGATAGTACAATGCCATCTTTGGATTGGGCCACTTCTATCCCTAAGAAATATCGGAGTCTTCCAAGGTCCTTTGTTTGAAAATGATGGCACAAATGTTGTTTTATCTGAGTTATGCCATGAGTATCATTACCTGTAATGACGATATCATCAACATATACTACCAAATAAATAGAACCTGAATCAGAGTGTCTGTAAAAGACTGAGTGATCAGCCTCACTTCGAGTCATGCCAAACTGCTGTACAACAGTGCTAAACCTTCCAAACCAAGCCCGGGGAGACTGCTTGAGACCATACAAGGATTTTCGGAGACGACAAACTAGGTTAGACTCCCCCTGAGCAACAAACCCAGGAGGTTGCTCCATATAAATCTCTTCCCGCAGATCACCATGGAGGAAAGCATTCTTTATGTCCAGCTGATACATAGGCCAGTGATGAATGGCTGCCATAGTGATAAAGAGGCGAACAGAAGTCATTTTCGCCACGGGAGAAAATGTGTCACCATAGTCAAGGCCAAATATCTGAGTATAACCTTTAGCCACCAAGCGGGCCTTAAGACGGTCCACCTGACCATCCGGACCAACTTTAACCGTGTATATCCATCGACAGCCAACAACAGACTTCCCAGAGGGAAGGGGAACCAGATCCCAGGTACCACTACTCTGAAGTGCACTCATCTCATCAATCATGGCTTGTCGCCAACCAGAATGTGATAACGCCTCACCTGTAGTCTTAGGAACAGATACAGAAGAAAGAGAAGAGAGGCAAGCAAAATGGGATGGTGAAAGACGATGATAACTCAAATTTATTAAATACCTGGGAGGGGGACGAGAATCACGAGTACCTTTCCGGAGTGCAATGGGCACATCAATGTCAGACGGAAGGATCGGAGCTTCCGGAGGAGATGATGACGGAAGTGAGTCCACAGGAGCCTCAGTAACAATAGGGGCAGACTCGGGGGGGGCAGGGTTCTGGGGAATAGGGGGACGTTGCCGACGATGATAGACCTGGAGGGGGGGAACAGGGGCGGGAACAGGGACGGGGACATCTAAAGAAGGAGATGGTGAAGGTATATAGTGAACTGAAACAGGTGGTAAAGGTAGCTGAGTAACAACAGAATCACTGGTATGAGAGGAGGAGTCAAAGAATGGAATAGACTCAAAGAATGTAACATCCGCCGAGACAAAGTAACGACGAAGACTAGGAGAATAACAACGATAACCTTTTGTGAGCGAGGGTAACCCAGGAAAATACATTTATGTGACTTAGCAGATAACTTGTCAAGACCAGGACTGAGATTGTGGACAAAACAAGTAGAACCAAAGATGTGAGGAGTGAGTGGGTACAAAGGTTGATGGGGAAACAACACAGAATGTGGTACCTGATTATGAAGTACGGAGGAAGGCATCCGATTAATGAGATAACAAGCTGTGAGGACAGCATCGCCCCAATACTGGAATGGGATATGACCATGTAACAAAAGTGTCCGAGTAGTCTCAATTAGGTGACGGTTCTTGCGTTCAGCAACCCCATTCTATTGAGGGGTGTGTGAACATGATGTCTGGTGAAGGATGCCGTGAGATGCAAAGAAGGTTTGAAACTGATGAGACAAATATTCACGAGCATTATCACTTCGAAAAATGCGAATCGAAACACCAAATTGAGTAAGGATTTCATTAAAGAACTGGTTAAAAATAGAAAACAATTCAGACCGATGTTTCATTAAAAATAACCAAGTACATCGAGAATAATCATCAATGAAAGTGACAAAATATCTGTACCCCATAGTGGAAACGGTACGACTAGGACCCCAAATATCTGAATGAACTAAAGCAAAAGGAGACGAAGACCGACGACTGACACGATCGGGAAACGAACTACGAGTGTGCTTCCCTAACTGACACGACTCACAAGACAAACTAGATAAATTTGAGAAACGTGGGACCATCTTCTGGAGCTTAACAAGATTTGGATGACCCAACTGAGCGTGGATAGTAAGCGGAGAATCCACAACAGAGCACACGGGAACAGTAGTTGAAAGCTGATAAAGGCCATTGGACTCAGATCCGACGCCAAGTGTCCTCCTCGAGCTCCGATCCTGCAAAATGACAGACTCTTTAGTGAAGGAAATAGTACAGTCAAGGGATTGAGTCAAGCGACTAATGGAAATAAGGTTGAAAGGAGAATGAGGAACATAAAGCACATTCTCAATGGGAATAGAAGGAAAAAGGAGAACAGTGCCAATCCCTTGGGACTGAACCAGTGACCCATTAGCCATAGTGATACTGGGCAGGGGACCAGACGTACAGAGAGAGGTAAATAAAGACTTATTACCAGAAATATGGTCAGATGCACCAGAATCGAGAATCCATGGACCAAGAGAGGGCGAGTGAGAAACACCAGCAAAGGAATTACCCGTGTGTGCACCAGAGGCAATGGTACCAGGAGGTGGCTGTGATCCAGCAATCAAGGCAGAGTCCGAGGCAGGAACAGTAGTCTGAGCAAAATGAGCGGAGCGAGGAGGGCGACCGTGAAGATCCCAGCAACGATCAATAGTATGGCCTGACTTGTTGCAATGAGTGCAGAGAAAGCGTCTCGTAGAGGGTTTGCGTCCACGTGCAAAACCCTTGGAGACAAGGGCAGACGGGTCAATTGAAGAGGGAGCAGATACTGCAGGCTCCATAGAAGTCTTGGATGCAGCGTGGGGTGATAAAACAGCCATAGATCACCGTGGTGGTCGGAGGTCCAGCCGGAGCTGCACGCGCCGCTGCAATGAAACGGACGGCAGAAGCTTCCTCCTGCGCGTGTGGGCGCGTGGCTGAGGTGTTGGAGATGGGTGTTGGACAGACAGGACCGCCTTGTTGTGGCGGTCAGATCGATGGGAGTTTCGCCAGAAAAATCGCCGGAAAAGTCGCCGGAGACGGTGGTCAACGGCGGTCAACGGCGGCGGCAGCGGCCAACAGTGGTTCTGGACAGCGGCAGTACTCAGACAAGGTCGGAAACAAAATAGGGAAGCCGGAAACTGACAGATGTGACGGTTTCCGGAAAAAAAAAAAATATTACTCAGCGGACAGTGGTCCACTGAAAAACCGCGGATTAGGATTCCTCTTGTTAGGCTCTAGATACCACGTTAATTACCAAGAGACAAGAGGTATTCATTGTAATCCTTGTTATATCAAATTACACAATATTGGTGCTATTATATAGCAAACCAATTGAAGAGTACAAAGAGACACACTCAATGTGGGACTTCGATACTATGTACAACAACAAACATATTTCAACTGAAAATGAAAATAAGAAATTAAACCAAACATGCTCTTAGTTTCCTAGAGAAGAAGTGAAATGTGGTGTCTAGATTGAGTGCAAAGTGATAGTATTGAGCTATGGTTCAAACTTCAAACCACTAGAAAAAAATTAACTTTTACATTAAGAAAGGGAATACAAAACTTCATCGAAACTCTCCGTGTAGACTAACAAAGTATTGAAATGAGTGTCTCCTGGTATGACTATATTAGAGAAGGAACTGAGTGAACATTGAAAGACAATTTGTCTAGGACGAGAGAAATTAAGCGCAAGTAGGAGAGAGAAAGCGATTTTCTCTTTTCCCCATTCATGGGATTTGTCATGGCCTTCTGTCCAGCCATGGGTACAGATCTTAAAATTGCTTGAACACCAATGTGCTGATGAGGGAAGAGAGAGAGAGAGAGAGGAATTAACAAAGGAAGAAATTTTCAAATAGAAGAAAGTGTATTAACATGCTACAAGTGCAGTCAAACAGAACCATAAGAACAATTTGAATGAAAGACAGGCAGGTAATCAAGACAGTAGAGGAAGTAGCTAAACACGTCAAAACAAGGAGAATCAGTTCAGCAAATTAATGATGTGTTTTTCGAAAAGGCATGAATACATAACCCAAAACGATATGTGTTTAAGACTTTTTTTTGTTGAAAAGAGAACTCAGGTTCCTGAGTCTGAAGTAGCAAAATTTTATAGCAACCTTGAATTTTGATTTATGGGAAAGAAAATATCTAAAAGTGTAGAATACTTTTACAGTTACAAAATTCATTCTGGGCAGTGGACACCTCTAGCAAATAATATTGGTGAAGAGTGACGATGCGGCTCTTCAAGGAACAACCATGACAACAAATAACACAACTGATTTAACTGTTTATACTGTTGCCAGCTCATCCATTTTTCACAAAACTGGACTTAGGTCCAATTCAACTGGACAGACAGGCTGGTTCAGTAGAACATTGCTTTATATTTTTATAGTTTAAAGTTAGTGATGCAAAATGCTGGCAGACATTAGTAAACTTCATGAACACAGGTTGACATAATTTTTATCTAACTGAAATTTCAGGTACATAATGCCAAGGGTAAAGCTAGACATACAAAAGTTAAAGAAACATAAACTCACAACTTTCTACACCAATAGATTTACCTCTAAGCGCAGAGGTACATCAACACAAATGCACATACTACCCAATTGCTCGATACATGGCATGTGTCTTTTTATTTCTATAAGAATTGCCTCTACTATTTTCCTAATACTAAACTTACAAAAAAGTACCCAAAAAAATGAAAGGAGAAAAAGCTTCAAACTGAACTTTAGAGGGAATAGAAATTATAGTGCTATGGTTGACAATAACATCTATAATGAATGGGCTTTCAGTATGCGATTTTTCTTTTTATTTTTATGCATATTATCATGAGCTTCTATTGCAATGAAACGCCCACAAGTTTTCAGGACATAGAACTATAAAATATAAAATATTCCTTTCATGAAGATTTAAATGAAAAGAAAATTACCACAGGTGATGAAAATCCATATCTTTGCATTAACATGTCATTCTTCTGTCCACTCATATAATTAATTGTCATCTGTTACAATTTTGACAGCATAATCAGGACCTCCATGTCGCAAAAATAAATAATACAAATGGTTAAATAAACATGTAACAGAAAATTTTAATTTCACTAGCATAAAAGCAGTTAAGCTCTAAAAGCATGTTTTAACAAAACTATTAAATAAGTTAATCAATGTAATATTTTTCAAACTCATGAACAATAACTCTCCTCCCATGTCACTGATTATGTATGGACCATAAAATTATATAAGTTCAAAATATAATGCATGATTATACAATAGCTATTGTAGGCGGTTGTGACATAAGATGTTTGACATTCTACGCGAACATGGATTTGCCTTCTCAACTTCAAAAAAAATTCCAATCATTGAAGAGATTTTGGCAGTAGCAAGGAGTTGTGGATCTTAGCTCTCTTTGCTGGTTTTAGATACATATATCTTTAGCGTAACATGCAGTGAGTCTTACCTAGTTATCATCTTTAAGATAGACTTGTTTTTCTAGCTTATACAAGTATTTCGGCCGAATGATTACGGAGGAATTTTCATGGTTTAAATAGTCAAGTGTGCATAAGATAATATACAATTATTTAATCCTCATTGGTCCACGGGGCCCTCACATGGATTGATGCCTTGTTCTAGTTTGTAGTGTGGGGTTAAATTTTGACACAAACAATGGTTGTCCAGGGAATTCTAGAACATTATATGAGACTCTCTAGGATGTTCTTGAATCTTGAAAAAAAAACTCCGTAGAAGGTCCTAGAACCTAGGAAGGTCTTAGAACCTTGGAGTATAGAACACCACGGAAGGTTCCAGAACCTCAGGGAAAGTTCTAGAGAGCTCGATAACATTCTAGACCATGATAAGTATGTCTAGGTTCTCAAGGTCTAGAAGGTTCCATATAAATTCCTTAGATATTCTAGAGTAATGAGATGAACCTTATACCTGTCTACCATTCATATGGCACAATCATCACATCGATTGAGCAAATTGAGGAAATGGAGTTCCTATAAATAAGAGAATTCATTCTGTGTATAACCACAGTGAGTGTGGGAAGTTCTACAACCTTGGGAAGATTCCATAGAAAGTTTTAGAACCTTGGGAAGGTTATAAAGAGTTCAATATCATTCTAGACCATAGTACACATGTCTAGGTTCTCAAGAAACCTCTAGAAGATTCTATGTAAATGTCTTAGATATTTTAGAAGGTTCTAGAACCTTATCCCCATCTTCTGTACATTTGGCACAATCACCACATCCATTGAGGAGGTCAAACTCCTTTAAATAGGAGAAACCTTTGTACTAGTCTTCCTTGAAAGTTTGACTAACATTTTGTCCATCTATTCCTTCCTTCTGGACATAATTTACTTTGTCGAATTTTAGACAATTAATGTTATAAAGATAAAAATATGCACGAATGTTTAATATAAGCAAGGAATCAACAAAAGCACACTTTGTAAAAGTATCAAATGGTTTACCTCATCTCCTTTTCTAATCCGCTGCCCAGCATTTGTAAGAACCTCAAGCATCCGGTCCTTAAAACGCCAATGCAAAAAACAATTTGGCTCAAATGAATGGTTTAGCATGTCTGAAAAATAAGACTAAGTTAATCAAACAGGTAAGTTAAAAAAGTTATACGTCTTTAGTGGGAATTATTAGCACCACCACGACCAATGATGCAAAATAACACAATTTTTACATACTTCTTTCCCTCAACCATTTTTTTTCTTCATTACAATTGTCAGATAAAGTGGAACTTCTAATTTGTTGCAGTAAAAAGAAAAATTAAAAATTTCTAAGTTCTAACAATACAATGAACAAATTAAATAGTAACAGTCAATGGGTACAGAATTTTTTATTTTTTTTGTGAACTGGAAATTAAATTTAATACCAAAGATAGTCAATGAGAAAATGAAAATTTTCAAAGCTATCACTCATTCCACAATATTAATAAGTCACTCTACAAACTTAATCTATATAGATACCTCCAGTTCATATAAAAAAGTCCCACAAAAGAAGAGAATGTAACATTTTACACACACTTTCCCCTTCTGCTTAAAGAGTTTGATGCTGCTTTCTACAGTACAGAAAAAATTCCATTCGGTGCGTAATCTTGTGCTACTTGCTCACAAATCTTAATATTAATGAACTTCTCAAATAGGTAAAGGACATCATAACAAACAAAGTCTATAAGAAAACAGAACAGTGGTGAAAATTATAAAGTAAAAGATTTGTTTGATTATATTACAAGTGTAATAAAGGTATCATATTTAGTCAGACTAACTAAGGTGAACTGAGCTTACCAGCATAAGGAATCAGCATATTTGCTTCCTGATTTAGTGCACCAACTCTTATTTGCATGTTAATACATCGTGATTGTGCAATACCTACAGCCCAAATGAACCTTTGAGGATCACGAGCAAGACGCTTTATTTTAAGGGGTGCATCACTGTGCTGAACGAGGTTAACACGTAATTTGTTTAGAACACAAAATATGTTATATGCATAATGGAAGACTAACAAATTCAACAAAGACAGTTTGCTCTTTACCCAGTTATTCTCCCAAAATTCTAAGGCTCGTTGTTGCTGGTTTCTCATAGTAGAAGCAAGACTGGGATCCTGCAGCTCCAAAAGTTCCTCCTATAGGATATAGAGATCCATACGAGATGTTGTAAAGCTATTTTTAAAACTGTATGATAAGTTTCAAAATGTAGCTATTCAAATACACATAAGTGTATACAATAAAACTTAAAATTACGAAGGATTTTAGCCCAACTTAAGGGAGCTGAAATGTACTTTATGGCTCAACCAAAATTTATCAGTCATCTTTGAGGTCTCCACCAAAAAATAAAATATGAAAACTTCAATGACTTAACTACAACTTGCAATACATTGGCAAAGGAAAGCCATTAAATTTAATCAAAGTGCAATCCCTAAGTAAAATTAGTTGCTAGACTGCTCTGCTCCCACCAATTTTTTATATAGGTCAATCAATTAGTTTAAAATAAGAACCAAGTAAAGCGAAGGTTATCTCAAATCTAAATAAAACACTAGAAAGAAAGCAGACAACATACATTACTAAGAATAATTACTTTTTCCAGTCTTATGACATGATTCAACTTCAACATAGAAAAGGCTTGAAACAACCTAACAAGTGGACATTGAAACATCTACCATGTATGGGATGCCCCTTTGATATCTAGCATTGATTGGTAATAATCTCATAAAAGGGTCAAAACATGGTTTAATGATACAGACTATTTTGTTTTTTCACACACCTCTTTAGCTAGAAGTAAGCTAGAACACTCATCTGCGCTTGGTAAGAAATCACCATACAACTGCCAAAAGTTGTCGTCGCAGTCAAATGAAAATAAGAGAAGGCATGCTAACCTTAAGTCCCAATCTGTCTGCCACAAAGATTTTACACAATTACATTAAGTAGATTACCAGAAAAGGGATTTTTTTTTTTTTAAGTAGATACAACTATAACAACAAAGGGTGGCAAATTGGTAACATATGTATTTACATGCAAACTATCAACCAAATCAGTTATATCTTATTGTAACTAATAATGAATTTAGAGGAGAATTGCAATTACCTCCGGATTTGTCGAGTTGATAATATCAAATATTGGATGACCTATGGGAATTATATCAGGGAAAAACATCCACGGGAGCCTCTTGCTTATGGTCAACATCAATTCAAGAGGTATTTCCATTATAACCTGCCCAAGTACATCATTACGGAAAACAGCCATGTACAACTACTAAGAATATAATCATAAACTACATTATACAAATAACTATGCAAGAATTTCTAGAATATGAGCAATTATCTTCACATGTACCACTGCCAGCAGTCAAAAAGGCTTTATATCTGGTAGAAAGTAAGGGAAGTACCATCACTTGCACTTGCAGCAATCATAAACGAAGCTACTCACCCTAGCTCGCTTAAGAGGTTCTACATCTTTGGAAGCATACACACCAAAACCATCTGGCCCTTCCTTAAACTCAACTCCATAAGCTCGCATTCTTCGGACATAACCTATCTTGTAGAAATCAGGATCTGCAGGCTCCAACTAGAGGAACAAAAAAGAAAAAAGAAAAATCATAACTGAATATTTCATCAAAACAGAAGACCATTAAAGAATTCATCAGAAGGCTGGTTGTTCATGAAAGAAAATACTGAATCTCAATATGTCAACTCTATCTGTTATGAACATAAAATCACATCAAATTATGGAGACAGAACTCACTCTACTCAATCAATCAATTGTTACTTCCAAACCATCAACAACAACCAAGCAGAAGACAAATGAGGGGTAAAAAAAAACAAAGTTAGGATTTACCTCAGATGATGATGACTCTTCAACTTTTGGAGGCTGAAACAAGGGAAATTGGGGTGCATCAACCGAGGCTTTAATAATAGGTCGTGCTTTGTTTTCAGCAATAGCATGAGAGCCAAATGAGTAAGTGGGTCGGCAAAAGCAGACACGGTGCGAACCTTTGAACTGTTCAACAAGAACACATGCTTAGAAAGAGGTTCAGATTAAAGAGAGACAAAAAGGAAAGAGATTTGAACCTGGGTGTTGGAGAAGAAGCGTTGTGTTGGCTGATAAAGAGGTAAAGGAGAAGCCATTAGATATTAAAGCATGTGCTGTGAGTTGGTCACGCACTGTTTCGGTAGTGATAATGCAAAATCCAAAGTACAGAACAGAGTAGAGAGTGAAATATGGTACAGACAACGTTATCCAGACTTCGGTTCCTCCAAGGAACCTCTCCTCAGTTTCGAAGAGTGATGATGATGATGTGTCACTAAATGGGGGGAAAACTCCTTTTGATCCTTTTTTGTTTCACTGATATTTTTCCATAATAATTAAAAATAAATTAAAATGCTAAGGTGTGTTTTGTTTTGTGTCGATTATTGTAGAAAAAAATAAATGATATTTTTAAAGTAATTGCATTTTTAAAAGAAAAAATCTAAATACGAGTTATTTTACATGCAAAAGGAGCTAATCTAAACACGTGTTTAAATATAATCTTACTCGAATTTGAGTTTGATCTATCGAATATAAAATTTTGATGTAGATTTGATTCAAACTCTTCCCCTCATCTTTATTTAAAAAATATATAAATATACATTATATATTTCTTCTTAAATTTATTTCATTTTTTATTTTTCACTTGTCAACTTTTAACATCAAAAGAAATAAATAAATAATCACGAATAAAATCATACATAAATAAATTTAAGATCATGGTTAAATAAATTAAAATACTTACTAAAATTTATTAAAAAATCTCGCTTTCTACCATCCAAAAAATTATGTTTTTCTCTTTGAATCTTCTTTATTTTTGAAAATACTTTTTTTTTTCAATTATCTCCTAATTTTATAATTGACAGGAACTTGACTTAGATTATTTCTCCGTTATGGACTAGACTATGAGTCCGTTTGTTTTCCCTTTTAAAAAATGTAACTTTTATCTCTTCCTTATTTTAGAAATTCTTTTTACAAAAGATAAAGTTATTTATATTTTTATAAAAATATTTAATTTTTGAAAAAAATATTTGACTTTTGACTTCTGCTTATTTTAGAAGTTAAAATTTTTAGCTTCTGGAAAAAGTAGGTTTTTGATTTTTTTTGTGACTTCTATTTTTTTAAAAGCAGTTATCCAAATGAACTAAAACTGAAAAGTGCTTTTTTTAAGAAAAAAAGCAACTTTTGAAAAAAAAAAAACCTATCCAAATGGCCCCATGTCAATAGGCGCACGGGAGTATTATTTTAGATCAATGCTCTTAATTTACAAGTTTTAATAATGGGTTCGCTTTTTTTACAATCAATGTAAATAACTTATCTACATTGAGCCCAAAACGATGTCGTTTGAGGCGAAAGTCAATGTATTTTTATAATTATAATTTATTTTAGAGTTATAATAATTTTTTTCATTATAATTTTTTAACCCAAAACGATGTCATTTTTAGAACGAATGTAGATAACGTTTCTACATTCACTGTAAAAATATTAAAGCCTTTAATAATAAAAGTAAACATTATACTGAAAATATAATTCAAACAAGTATCAATTGGTTTTATCTAACTCTAATATGAGAAATTTAGAGGTTCATGGGAAACAAAATAAAGAGACAAAGGTTAAAAAGGAACTTCATTGAAGCGCTAAAGATGATGGTTGATCTTTGAGTTTTCACCCTTGAATTAGTCATAACCCTTCTCATTAAGGGATTGTTTGGTTCAGGTTATATATGAATTTTCTCAGTCATCCATAAGTGGCAATGTGAGTTGTCTTCGTTTGATAGAAGAGAACCACAAATATACCCATGAAACACGGTTGCCCAGCCATTGACAAAAGCGTGCAAAAAAGCAAGAAAAGTCAGTTGACCACTTTGAATGTGGTATTTCAATAAACATAGCTAAATGACAAAAAGTGGATTAATATTGTGACAAAACTATCCCTCGACGTCCTAGTACTGAGCAAAGTAATGCTCAACTACCTCCATCATCTTTGTAACATTAAAAAATTTAAATAAATTACAATACAAACTGAAAAAAACGCTCTGCTAGGGTTTTCCTTTTCATGGAGGAAAATATAGCTACTGAAGGCCAAACTTCAAAAGAAGAAGAAGATCTACTACGTAGGAGTAATAAGAGAAATAAAGATGGAGATATGGTGTTTACTGAATCACAGTCTAGGGTTCCTAGACATGAATCTTGGATGGTTGACGACGGTAATAAAAAGATGACTTGGCGAGAGATGCTCATGCAACACAATGGTGAAACAGATGACTGGGAAGGAATGGATTGGAATTTGGAAGAAAATGTTGATCAAAGTGCACCTGCGGAGGAAGAGGATGTGAATTATGGTGGGATTAAAATGTGGACAGAGGAAGATGGTAGAACTCATTTTGGTTGTACTAGAAAAGCAAGAACAAGAATGCTGAAGGTTTGGGAAAAAGCTCTCATTGTAAAACTACTTGGAAGGAATACAGGAGTGGCTTTCATGAAAAAGAAGATTGAAATACTATGGGCTAGAGCTGGAAAGATTAACGTTACAGATGTAGGTAATGGATTCTATGTGGTGCAATTTAGCAACAAAGATGATCTTCTTTTTGCTCTAAATGGTGGTCCTTGGATTATTTTAGGCCATTATTTATCACTCCGACGTTGGGAGCCAGCTTTTAGACCAAATGCTGCAAGTGTGATGAAGATTGCAGCTTGGGTGCGATTACCGGGTATCCCACTGGAGTATTATGATGAAGCCTTTTTCCGCCGTATTGGTAATTGGCTAGGTAAAATGTTGAAGATCGATAAGACAACTAATGAGCATGTAAGAGGACAGTTTGCTCGAATTTGCGTGGAACTGGATCTTGCTCAGCCTTTGAAGGGTGAATATGTGTTGGACGGAGCAACTAAACAGATAGAATATGAAGGTTTAGGCCTTATTTGTTTCCATTGTGGGTGCTATGGACATAGTAAAGATTGTTGTCCTGAGATACCAGTTGAAGGAAAGGATAATCAGCAAAATCAAGACGGGAAAAAAGATGAGGCTGAGTTTCAGAAAAATGGATTAGGTCCTTGGATGGTGGTGCAACGTCAACGTCGATCAAAAATTCAAACTCCAATGGCGGACAACAGGAAGCAGGAACCGGTTCGAAGGGAATCAAGGCGTAATCAAGGGAGTAATCAAGGGAATAATCAAGGGAGTAATCAAGGGAATAATCAATGGAGTAATCAAGGGAGTAATCAACCGCAATCAAATCAGCCGGTTATGATTGATAATCAATCAAATTCCCGTTACGCTGCTTTAATGGGCTCTAATGAAGATGATATTACTCATGATATCCCAGCGACTAATCCGGATGCTGTTATAAATGGCGCCAATATGGTGGGCCCTCCTGTTAATATTGATATTAGTACATCTCAAGGGTCCAAACACAGAAACCCTAGAAGCCGTCCTAATGTTGAATTACAGGAACACCCCAACCGATTTACGTTAAGTGGGATTACGACAGGTCATGAAAAAGAAAATCAAATAAATGGGAAGATAGTTGACAGAGGTACCTCAAACAATAATACAATGAACTTGAGGAGGCAAGTTGCGATTCATAATAGTAAGGACATTGGAGGTAAAAGCGGTGGAGATTCCATGGTGGCTAGGAGTACTGTTGTTGATTATAACAAAGATTGTTATCAAATGGAGGTGGATAAGGATGGTCAAAATATCAACGGCTTAGATCATGGCTTGTCCCAACCAAAAGCGCCTGATCCAAGTAGAGATAAAGGAAAGTATATCCCAATAAACTATAAGCTCAATATTGAGGTGGAGATGATTTTAGAATCTGAAACTCAGTGCAATGACAATGGGATGGCAGTGGACCCACAATCCTGCCAAATTACCATTGATTAATGTCTTTAGTTACATGGAATTGCAGTGGGGCGGCTAAAAAGTGCTTCAAATCAACGTTTCAAATGATGGTTCGAAGGCATAAGATTGAGGTGGCAGCTATTCTTGAACCTCGAGTAAGTGGTTCAAAAGCAAAACAGATAATAAAAAAGCTGGGTTTTAATAATTCAATAGTGGAGGATGCTCATGGATTTACGGGAGGTCTTTGGTTACTATGGAATAATGATAGGTGTCAGGTTCAAGCATTAAAACAGACCCATCAATTTATTCATGTTCGTGTTACATTGGCAGATCATCAAGCTTTTCTTTATACTGTTATCTATGCAAGTCCTAGAGAAGAAATTCAGAAGAGACTTTGGGATGATTTACTTCAGTTATCAGAAGATATCTCGGTTCCTTGGCTAATTACAGGTGATTTTAATGAAATTTCCTTTCCAAGTGAGAAACGTGGTGGTGCTCCAGTTGATACTAGCAGATGTAATAAATTTGCTTCTCTTCTAACTGATATAAAGATGATTGATCTTGAAGGAATAGGTTCTAAATTTACATGGCGAGGGCCAAGATTTCTTCATTTAGATAGAGTCTTTAAACGTTTAGATCGAGCTTGTAGCAATGCTGAATGGAGGTTGATGTTTCATGAAGGCCAGGTTCGAGTGCTTCCTCGTATTAACAGTGACCATAATCCTATCCTTATTACCTTAGAGCCAAGCAAAGTTGATGGGGTGGAACGCCCTTTCCGTTTTCATTCTTTTTGGTTGGATCATCAATTTTTTAACAATTTCATCAAGGAAAACTGGCGTCAGGATCAAAGAACAATTGATAGTCTTCGTGATTTCACTCCTCTTATTAAGCAGTGGAATAAAGATGTGTTTGGTAATATCCATCATAAGAAGAACAGGTTGATTGGTAGGCTTGAAGGTATCCAGAGGGCAATTTCTGAGCAGAATAAAAGCCATTTGGAAAAGATTGAAGGCAAGATAAGGGGTGAACTTGAACAAGTTTTAGAACAGGAGGAACTTTTGTGGTTTGAAAAGTCTCGTGCTACTTGGATAGCTCAAGGAGATAGGAATACAAAGTACTATCATACGAAAACAATTGTTAGACGTAGAAGGATCAAGATCTTGGAGTTGAAAGATGATGCTGGAAACTTGATTAGAGAAGATCACAACATTGCACGGGTAATAAATGCTTACTTCTCTAAACTATTTTCTGAAGAAAACCATAATCGTCCTTGGGTCCAGACTCTTTGGCCAAAGGTGGACGATGAGACTGCTGTTAACTTAGATGCTCCAATTTCAAAAGAAGAAGTCAGACGAGCTTTCTTTTCTATGAAAGATTCGAAAGCTCCAGGGGAGGATGGCTATACCGCG